AAGGGGAAGAAAACCTGCAGATCCAACATGTGCCAAGGCCCTTGTCCACAGAGGAAAAAGCAGCTCCCAATTGTCAGTACAGATGTCAGCTCCAAAATTCCCAGTAAAGCAACTTTCTTTCTTGCAGGAACACAAATCAATATTCTAGCAGCCCGGCTGACTAGATTGCCTGGGAAGGTGCTGTGCTAATTATAAAAAGGGGATGGAGGAAATGAGGAATAAATGTGTTTTTATTGAATGCACAAGGTGTTAAAAACTAAGAATGTGGAACACAGAAAATTCTGTACTTCAGAAATTGTGTAGCACAGGATGCATTTTATTTATACAGTTTGGGCTTGTTTGGTAAATCCTGGAATCTAGAGGGAATGTTGAATAAGGAATGCTGCAATTTCTGCTTATAACACCTGTGTATAGCTACATATGTAAAAAGAAATGGCCAAGGGAACTATGGTATTACTGGATAATCCGTGATCATATTTTCAAGCTGCTGGAAACTCAGGAGTAAGTGACACCAAACATTTAAGCACAGACACTGTGTTCAAGAATGGACAGGATGTGGCATTTAGTACTATGGTCTAGTGGTCAAGGTGGTGATCAGTCAAAGGTTGGCCTTGATCTCAGAGGTCTTTTCCAACCTAAATGATTCCGAGGCATTTTGAAAGAGAAATCCCAGTTTAGTGTGTGCTGGGAGCACCAGTGACACTAGAGGTCAGCATGGGAGCATCTACATTTGCATTTTAGGCTGGGCGACGAATGTGCTCTGCAAGTGCTACCGCTGCTGCAGCCCCCAGGACTGAGACACCTCGGAGTTTGGACTTGGATTCTTTCATGGAAAAATGGGTTCTTGAACGACTGTTAATGGTCATTTGAGCCACATGCCTGGATTAGATTTAGTCTGAACTAAACTCCCAGGACTCCTATAGCTACTACAACTGCTAATAAGGTGTATCCCAAGGCCACCGGGTAGAGGAATGCACAGAGGAGGCTAAGGAATGAAAAGTAATCCTAGGACAATATTAAAAATGAGGCTGGAACTCAAGGAAAAGTGCACTGAGGAGCCCAAGAGTTGAAAGACAGCAAGGATTAGACATATTGAGCCTGCCTTCATTTCAGTAGCGTTTGTGAAATCTAAGAGTTCTCCAGGCACATTAGGGAGGAAGGAACAATAAATGATAAAGTCAGACTGCAGTTAAAGATAACTCTTTACTTGAAAATGAATGCCTCACTTCGGTTATGAGCAATCAGATAATCTATAGCTCTGAATTCTGAAGGATATGGAGCATAAAATCACAAGTCTAACAGAGAATATTTTTGTAGTAAGTCTCTGAAGTTGCAGTAATACCCTCTGATGGAAGAAAAGTAAAGGGAAACATCTAAATTTAGGCAGGAGAAACTTTTTTTTCAATTTTAGCAGAACATTTTAGCAAAAAAAGCACAAATAGTATGTTTTAACATATTTAGGAATACAAAGACATTTAAGGATGAAATTGGCTCATTACTGAATAACACAGGAAAACTGTCAATGCAGAAAGAGTAAATATGTAACATTTGTATTCTGTGTTTGTGCAGGGAAAGAGCAAGATGTTGTACCAATCTCATCTGAAGGAACACTCTCACTCGAAGACAATTCTGGAAAATGTTAAAAACACGTTTTAAAATGAGATAGTAAAAGGTTTTGTGTGTCGGGATTTTTTTAAAAGCAGCCAAAAGAATTTAGCAGATCACGATAACAATTTTCTTTGTTGTTGTTCTTTTTCCATTAGATCTCAAAATGTCAAAGGAACTCCTTCAAACTGGAAGGCAGCATGTCCTGTGCTGGTGCTATTAAATGGCAAATGAGACAACCTGGGTAATTAGAAGCTCATAAGCCTGGCATCAATCCTAGTAAAAAAACAGAATAATTCCTACAAGACTAAAATAATGAAGGATTAAAGAAGGGAAATAGAATTAATGCCAGTCAATATGACTTTTTTTTTTTTTTTAAAGAGAACCTGCCAAGCTGGCATGGTACCTTGGAAGAGAGGACAGGAACCAGGTGCTGTTCTGTACTTCCCACTTCCAGACAACAGTTGGGATGGCAATAAAGTTCCCCAAAAATTGAACTTTTCTTAGAAGTGAGACTATACATCATCATGACAAGAAACACCTGCCCACCAGTTTTACTGGGCATATAGTGTTTAATTCTGGTTTGTTTTTTTCCAAGAACTATTCCTCTCTCTTTCATTCATGGCATGCACATGACAAGCTGCTATTAAACACTATTGTTCTAACTTAATAGCAAAGGGAAGCTGCTGGAAGAAATGTTCCTAAATCTCATTTATGGGAAAGAACCGTTACTGTGGGGCTGGTCTGAAAAAGGCTGAGTTTGAGCTTCATTTCCTCCACATTGAAATGATCTACTTTCGAAATCATTACCATAAGAAGTTCTGCTGCTTTGCAAAGCCCACGATGCAAATTCTTGCAACTGGCACAAGTTTGTGATGTTTCTCAGCTGATGTTCTTTCAGCCATCCCAGTAGACCTAATTTAATTTCTAATCATTTCCCCATGCTTAACACATTTTTCTAAATTACTTTTGCATTTGTACTCAGAGGGAGTACTGGCTGATTTTTGCTTGTGAAGCTTTCCTCTTTCATTCCCATTGTTTCCTGTGCAAAGGGGATGCAGCAAACTGCACAGAGCAATCCTGTCATCAGCTGCTTTCACTCCATACCGTATTTCAATAATAATATGGCACATACTGTGCATTTCATAGATTTCATAATCCCAGTTCCAACCTCTATCACATTACACAGAGGAGCACTGAACCTCATTCTGGGTGCAGGACAGGGAGAGCCCAGCAAAATATGGGAGTGCACAAGTTCACAGTGTCCATTTTGTGCCCATTTAATTATATTTTCATCTTTTTCAGAGTAAAAGAATGGTGTATTTAAATCCTTAGCCATTATAATTCACACTGTACCATAAGCAAATAGGAAAGCAATCAGAAGGTATGAAATAGTTATAAATTACTCTGGTGTTTTGCCAGACACGTGGCATAAGTTTTCATAATTTCACCTCTGAAAATTTGTAAGATGTTTCTGTTTATATTATTTTATTACTTCCAACTTTGGTAATCCTTTTGTTATTCTTGTGACAATTTTTAATTTTCGTTCCCCTTCAAATGATCAAAGAAATTTTTGCTCAAAAAAGATTGTGTCATATATTAAAGCAATTGTGTCACAGACTGAATTTACTTCCTGAAGTATTTCTCAGAAAGATCTTTAAGGATTTGTGACAGGTGTGGTTATCTTCTCTTCAAAACCACTAAAAAGATGCAAAATTTCTTTCATATTTTAGAACATCACTTAATGCCCTCCCCAGAATTTTCTTCTGATTTGGAAACATGCACAGCTCAAATTCAATGCAGAGTTGTCATGACAGACTCAAGAGAGGTGTTTTTGATGACTTACTCATACAAAGCACATCTTTCTGAAGTCTTTCCACCAAGTGGTTTTATTGAAGGACCTTTAGAACAACTCACAGGTGGCTTCTCACCAGCTCATGTTGCACTGACTGAATTCACTGGTCTTCCAACTAATGAAATCACACTAAAATTGCAAATTGTGGTCCCCCTTTTTACACCTTATTTTGAAAACTGCACTGCTCCTAAACTGGCCAATTCCAACCTCAATACTCCTCCTGTTTAATATACCTCCATCTTTAAATTTTATGTTCTCAAACCCTTAGAAGAGCTACACAACTGTTCTCCCTCTGTATTCAGAGTCCAACTCCATTCTCTCCAAATATTACATCTGATTTTGTCTCCTCCTCTTTTCCTCTCTCAAAAGGGAAATAGAAAAGAAAGCATAACCTTGTCACACAGTGTTTAGTTATCTAGAGCAGTGTCCCTAATGTCTTGCTCCCTCATTCTTTTCAAGTTTTCATATTCCAAAAGCTAACTTTTTGCCTCCTCTTCTGCTCATCCCTCAAATTCATATTCCATCTTACCACAGCTTCCAATAAAAACAAATTAAAAGACCTCTCAAATATTATAAATATTTCCTAATCCTTACTACTCTGGGACCTTGCCCAGTGCATTCTGTTCCATACTATCACATTTATACAGTTGCTATAGATATATACATAAAGAAAATTATACCTTGTGGTTTATAATGACATGAATTAAAAAGCCCCATTTGCGAATGAATGATATGATGCATAAATTTCAGTGTATCATCTGTGCAATGCCAAAAGTTCTTAATCAATACAACAGAGATCTAAAGCACATCAACAGTTGATTTAAAACTGCATCCACTCCCAAAGAACGTTAATTATATTCTCAGAGCTCATTTATAATGAGCTTTTAATTAGAGAGGATGTCCTCACATCTTAATTCTTAGAAGCAAAAAAATTATGAGATGGGAGGTAATTCTTAAAATAACATGCTTTAATGTAGATTTCTTTTTCTTTTATTATACCAGAACTATAAAGACTCCTTGCTTAAAGTCACTTGTGGCAACACACATGTATGAGAAAGGAGGATTCTATTTCCTTTGTCATCAGTAAGGATGTATATGAGACATCCCTCTAATGGATGCCTCCTCTAAAATTTAGGAAAAGGTAAACAGAAGGATCTTTATTGCTATGAAGAGCTAAATGAGTATTTCACACTGGGAGATGAGTGGTCAGTTTTTCTTCCATTATTTAATTGCCTAATTAGCCACCCTCCCATATTTTAGGAAAATGATACACAGTAAAATCCTTTACAAAATGTCTACACTCAGTTCTGTGTAAAAGCTTTTGCAGTGCTACCCAGTGTAGTCACTCAGAAGAAAGTCTGATTGCTTGAACAGTAAAATCTGCTTAATAAATCCACCTTTAGTTTTCAATTCAGCAGCTCAGCTTTATTCAACTTTCGCATTCCCAGTATTTCATAAACACTCTGCTGTACAACACAATGCTGGGACAGACACATGGCATTTGTCATGTCAGGAGTCAACAGGAACTTGATCTGATTACCTGCTTTGCTTTCATTGGGTTTGCACTGAACTTCTTCAACACATTCTGCAGGAAACCAGCCAATATGTCCCCGGGTGCTGCCTTCCCAGAATCCACCTTCTCCAATGCTTAGAACTAAACAGAGAGAGACACAGGGAGCATTAAACTTTATCTTCTCCCATAAATGCAAGATTAGATACATAACACATTCAATAATAACTGAACATCATGTTGGTAAAAGCCAATGTGCAATAACTCCAATGCTGGTACCCCCAAAACGGGCACAGAATAACCTTTAAATGTGACTCTCCCTGGTCTGCTTTTGTAACCTCTTCACAAATTTGTTTTTTCACAAGTTTCCTTGGCCCTCGCACAATTCTTTCCGTTTTCAGTTTTCTCAAGGATAAATGCATGGTTATACCACAACCAAAAAATGTTGTCTTGCCTGTTCAAATGAAGCCGAAGTGCTGAACTCATTGTAAAACTGAATTCATGTTGAAATGGATTTTAATAATACATATTCTGATATTCCATTTTTTTCCCACCTTCTAAGGAAACATGCTATTTTATTAAGTGGGCAGCTCAGAGATTGGCAATGTCGAGTAATATGATTCAAGGGTTTGAGCACACAGCAAACACATGAACCTCCCACAGATGAGGGCAGATGCCTTTTGAAACATTTCAATGATTATTCTCAATAAAAGATCATGACAAGATGGAGGAGAAGGATTTACCAACATGAGAAAAAGCTTTATCCTGTAGTTCTAATTATCTTGACATTAATTCTAGACTCAACAAGGATTATGACAAAAGCCTGCAGAACAACAAGGCATGTTTTTACTGATAAGCAATTGGAGGTGAACTGTGGTAACAAAAGGACTCTAAATACTTGCTAGGTATTATTTTTAAATTAATATTACAGAAGTTCCTACAAACCACTGTATGTTTACTATATACTAGAAGAATATATATGCACTATTAAAAAGATACTATACATTAATATTGATAAAAGGTGATATCATCAACAAAAACATATTAGTAGGTCCTCAGAGCACATGTATACAAAACATAGTGTTGGGTGGAGAGGTCCCTGAGCTCATGGAAGCTGAGGCAGCCCAGTTCCATCTGCTGAGTGCCAGCTAAGCCCAAACTGCCCCTGCTGAAAATCAAGGCTAATGAGCCCAAGCACATCTTTGCTAATGTGTGCACATGGTTTCCAAGACCTGGAATAATGTCTCTGCAGGGTATTTCAGTACAGGAGGGGTAACTAACTTGATCAGAGCTACTTTGATAATCTCCAACACCAGCACTTTTTGCACTGTTAAAATACACCAGGCTTTAAAATCCTGGTCCCTGCCTGACTGCGATTGAACTCAGCAACAGTGGAACTGCTGTGACTCAGTGGCATTGAGTCTGAACTTGATTTGCACTATTCTAGTGAAAGATGAAAATCAAATCAGTGGTAGACCAACAAAAAGAGTAAAAAAAATTATGGTAATATTAAGGCAGTAAGAAATCTGGTTTGAGACACCAGAATCTCTAAAGATGCCTTTGAAAGTAAATGTTTACCAGGTTTCTTTCATCGATGTAATCCTAAACAATTTGTTGTGTTACTTACAGAGCACGGACATCTATTAACATGAATATTTGACAGCAAAATGTTTATAAATATGTCAGTTTTAAGCCTTTTAATGTAGTGCATTCCAAGAGACAGATTTCATGAAATGCACATTTACACACCGCTCTCAATAAGAAGTCCCAGGAAACACCCATTAAGGAAAAATCCTACACCAGGATAGGTCCCAAATGCAATTTCTGGAACACTTTTCTGACATATATGAGGAACCTATAACTACCCAGGGAGTTATGGGATAATGGGGGAGGGCACAAGCCTTGGATGATTCCAACAACTCTACACTGAATATTAAGCTGAATTAAAAAATTTTAGCAAGACTTTTTTTTGTTTGTTTCCCTAACACCTGTAGATATTGCTAAGAAAAGCAGAAAATATTTCAACTCTACACTTAAATGCAAGCAAAAATGAAGAAACCACATGTTCTTTGTGTTAATAAAATAAATAATTTCTATAAAAAATATTAATAAACACTAATTATTTAGGGATTTATTGTTTATTTTAATAAAAATATGTTATGGGGCATAATTAATGAAAAATATGTTGGTCTAGTTCTTAAAAATGTTTAAAACCTCTGCATATCAACACACATAGTCAATCTGATAATTCAGTGTCACATAAAACAGAAACCTGATCATTCATCCAATGTATATCCAAAAAACATGGAATAGTCAGCAGCTTCCAATACATTTTTAACAATGTAACCTCCTTTTACGTAAGAATGCACTTCTTATATATGACATAAGGAACTAGGAAAATTTAATAACCTATATACATATGGAATTATGGTAGGATCCTACTGTATACACTGATTTAACTTCAAGTTGTAAAAGAGAGTGTAGGACTCCAGCCAAAAGAAATATAAAAATGTTAGACAGTAAAAGATTCCTACTGCCAGTAATTAGCTTTTTTCTTTTTTTTTTTGAGGGGAGTTTTCAGCACTGAATCTCAGTCCTGATTTCACCCCACAAATTAGGAAGATGATCAGAGCAGAACTGAGAGACTGAGTCAGATTAACCTAATTTGGTATTTTATTAATCTGTCAGATTTGCTATTTTGATGCTCCAAATGACATGGATATTCCCATCTCTAAAAAGAGAGATGCACTGTGAGGACAAAGTTGGTTATTTCACTCACATGGATTAATTCCATTTGTTATCGGTAGTAGCATCTGATCTAAATCAACACAGGAGAAGAAATTTGCTTTCTAAGTCTATCTGGGAGTGAGCGCAAGGCAAAAAGTGATCACTCCAGAGCAGAACTAGACCCATTTCAGACCATTACTGCATGAAATATTAAATATTAGCCATTACTAACAGCAAGAGCAAAGGGAAAATAATGTAGCCTGTCTGAAGACATAACATCCATGGAAAAGAAGTGGAAGGGGAAATGAGGTGTTGCTGGAATGCAGTTACCCTTCACCACTCTAGTTCAAGCCAGTCTAAAGATTACATCTACCAGCAAAGGGCTTTGGATTTATCAAGAAAAAACATCATTATGGGGGCCAAGAAAAGAAGGGAAAAGCTGATGGAACTGCAAGAGGCCCAAAGATGACACAAGAGAGATGAGTGATATCCAGGGGTACAACAGAGACAGAGATAAATTGTTGGTGAGGTGAAGGATAAGCTCATAGTACTCAAAATGTAGACGCTGAGATCTAGGTGGTTCTGCACTACCAAAAAAACTTGAAATAATCTTCAGATATTTCAGATATTAAATTATTGAATTAACCTTCTTCAGATATGCCATTTATAAAAAATTTTGCAGCAAAAGCCAAGGCCAGAATAATCTAAACATCTATAAAAACTCTCAACAATTCACATACTCCAAGGTGGGTAACTGCAATTTAGAGGATAAATAAAATTGTAATTCATCTTTTGTACCCATGAATGCTTTTTTAGAATGAAGCTTTAATTTGTCTTGCCTCTCCCAATATTGCTTAAGGGCCTCATTGTAACAGATAATTTGTTACCAGAGAGAGATTTTGTAATCAACAGTTTCCCTTCTGAAGGACATAACAATGGTAAATCAAAGGAGAACTTTCCTAAAATTAATAATTAAACTTTATCATTTCAAGCAGTTTTTCCTTTTCTTTTAGTAAAACCAAAAGATGTGGTTGCTATGGCAAGAGGAGGTCAGAGTGTCTTTATACACCACAGAAATTATGAAAAGAAGATGATGTTTTAACAGTAAAATTAAAGTTCTAGTAACATCATGAATCCCAGTATGCCTTTTCGCAACAAAAGTGTAGTTTAAAACATTAATTATGTTCAATTCTATGAACAAAACTGCAAATCATAAGTGGAAAAATAATAAACAATGGAATAACATGAAAACATGGATAGGCAGGTATCAGTCAGGATCTCATCATTTTAATGTCTTTAAAGTATTATACTTAAAATCAGCCAGATTCTTCTTTGCCAAAGTCTAGAGAAAAATACAAGAAAATTATGTACACAAAATATTTTACAATATTATATATTTAAAAATTATAGAACAGAACATAGAATGTTTTTTCTTTTGCAACTTTTGTAAGTCCATTGGCAATGCATATATTGTAATTGGTATTAATATACTAATCACAAACTGCCTAATTAATATACTATAAAAATCACTTTAATCAAAAGAACATAAAGGTTGTATTCTTCCACATTACAGCTCCCTTCATCATGCCACGATCAAGAAATAGAGTACTTTTTACCATTTAATTATGGTGACTACTATTTCTAAATTCCTTGAGATACTGGAATGTCAATGAGTGGATTATTCCATGCAACCTTACTTGCAAAAATGTCAATGAAATTTACAGCCAAATTCAGGCCAATGTTTTACAGCTGCTACAGGATGTACCTGAAATGCCTTTGTAACATCTAAATCAATTTTTGGTGCTCCAAACTTCATTTTTCTTTCCTGGGAAAATAAATAATTATATGGATTGGCAATGAGACATCATGTTCTGGGGAAAAAAGAACATTTCTACAAGCAGGACCAAAAAAGGACAAATTAACAAAATGAATGTAAAGTGTCCCTCCATTCAAACTGCAGCATGAAATTGTATTTACTTTCATCCCCTTGTTCTGCTATTCATAAAAAATGCCATTTACCTCTTGAAATACAAAGCAGTTTCACCTGAATTTTAGCTAAGCAAGGGTTCAGTGCAAATCTGAACTCTAGTTCTATGTCTTGACATAACAATCTTCTAGATTCGTTTTTTTAAACTAAAACAGATTTTTAATTTCCAGTGGGCACAAACCTAAGTTCTTTACCTCAGAATAATTAGTATTATAACTTGGGCTTTCCTCTTGTTGAAATATCTGTCATGTGATATAAATTTTCAGAGTTGTTTACCTCTGGAAGGAGAACTTCCAAATGACAGTCTCTGCAAGAATACTTATTTCAATGATAAAACCAATTTTGCTTATAACAGCCCCTGAAGTATCTACAACTTAAAAATATATGCTTCTCACCTTGAGTTGTAATGGCAACTTATTTCCTAAGTATA